CTGTCCCAGCTGTCCCAGCTCTATCCCAGCTCTGTCCCTGCTCTGTCCCGGCTGTCCCAGCTCTATCCCAGCTGTCCCAGCTCTATCCCAGCTGTCCCAGCTCTATCCCAGCTGTCCCAGCTCTATCCCAGCTGTCCCAGCTCTATCCCAGCTGTCCCAGCTCTGTCCCAGCTTTATCCCAGCTGTCCCAGCTCTATCCCAGCTCTATCCCAGCTATCCCAGCTGTCCCAGCTCTGTCCCAGCTCTGTCCCAGCTCTGTCCCAGCTCTGTCCCAGCTCTATCCCAGCTCTGTCCCAGCTCTATCCCAGCTCTGTCCCAGCTCTATCCCAGCTGTCCCAGCTCTGTCCCAGCTCTGTCCCAGCTCTGTCCCAGCTCTATCCCAGCTCTGTCCCAGCTCTATCCCAGCTGTCCCAGCTCTGTCCCAGCTCTATCCCAGCTCTGTCCCAGCTCTGTCCCAGCTCTATCCCAGCTCTGTCCCAGCTCTATCCCAGCTGTCCCAGCTCTGTCCCAGCTCTGTCCCAGCTCTATCCCAGCTCTGTCCCGGCTCTATCCCGGCTGTCCCGGCTCTATCCCAGCTGTCCCAGCTCTATCCCAGCTCTGTCCCAGGTGTGTCCCAGCTCTGTCCCAGCTCTGTCCCGGCTCTGTCCCAGCTCTGTCCCGGCTCTGTCCCAGCTCTATCCCAGCTCTGTCCCGGCTCTATCCCAGCTCTATCCCAGCTCTGTCCCAGCTCTATCCCGGCTCTATCCCAGCTCTATCCCAGCTCTGTCCCAGCTCTATCCCAGCTCTATCCCGGCTGTCCCAGCTCTATCCCGGCTGTCCCGGCTCTGTCCCGGCTCTATCCCGGCTGTCCCAGCTCTGTCCCGGCTCTATCCCGGCTGTCCCGGCTCTGTCCCGCTGCGCCGCTCACTCTCGGGGCCGTTCCTGACGTCCAGGCGCAGCCTCAGCGCGGGCCGGGCGCAGCTGAAGGCGTTGGCCAGGTCGCCGTCGCTGAGCAGCGGCACGAAGGTGTCCTGGCCCTGCCCGTTGTGCGCCGCGAAGCTCAGGACGAAGCTTTTCTTCCTGAGGGGGCACAGCGGGGCTCAGCCGGCTGCTCTGGGCGGGCCCAGCTACAA